ACAGAGACACAATTTTACATTCCCCTTGGAGAAGTGAATCTAAACACCTGTTCGCAGTGAAGCTGTGGTGCCGACTGGGACTCGAGTGGAGGGCGAGTTGCCCAGGCTTAGGTCTTTTGAACTCATCCTTCATTTTCAAGCTCCAAGAGCAATCAAAACCACCTTTTGAGCAGTTACTTCACTTGCACCTGGCACCAGAGACACGTATCAACGTAAGTTACCAAAATGTGGAATGAGTACAGTCCTCAGCAAATCCCAGATAGTATTTTTGTCTCCTACACAATCACACTACTGCTGTTGATGCTGCTGTCTCCAAATGCAGAGCTGCCTCACTCACACGTGGGCTAGGAATAGGTTTTGCTTTGCTTTTACACCAACAGAAAAAATAAAATCTGTTCTGCAGTTGGAATCTGGCTTTTAATACTTCATACAAAAGGATTTACGCGCAAAAATTTATTCAGAAGGGACAAGTAAGATAATATTGTCATCAACATAGGACACGTTTTCTGCCTAAACAGACATCTTCTGCCTAAGGACAGAAACATAGGACATTTTCTGCCTAAGCAGGTTATTTTGTCATTAGAAATTCCCACATCTTTTAAAAACCGCCTTGAAGCAGATTATCGTTCATCTTGCAGTACTTTTACTAACAGTGTTCAAATGCACTAGCAATTCTTGAATAAACGGATCCTTGACAAACAAGAGAGTACTTTTTCCACACAAAACATATTTAAAACATGGAACTTAGAGCCACAAGGGATTGCAGAGGCTGAAAGAAACCATGAGCTTGAAAACAGAAAAATTCCTAGAGAAAAATGGAGCCACCTTATCTGCTCTTTCACACCATCTGTTGTTGGCCACTAATGGAGACAGGATACAAGACTAGAAACATCTTTGGTTCTGATCCACACTGGTAGTTCTTAGGACAATGTACATCATTAGCATGGTATTTTAACACTTCTATTCATGGTAAAGCTTACTACACATACTTGTATCTTATTCATAAATACAACTTTTGCCAAGGAAATTCAATATAATATGTTGCCTCTAAAAAGTATGGCAGAACAAAAGTTACGTTTTCACTTAAACATACATATTTTACTATAACTTGTGATCAGTACCATCACCTACTGTAAGGAAGAGAATGATGCCAAAAAACCCCAAAACAATTAAACAGATACACATAAATTTTATTTTAAAACAAACAAGAGCTGTTTTCCATTTAAATCAAATCTAGTAAATCTCCCTTGACTTACCTTATTGGATCACTCACCAAAATTATCAAAGCTTCTAAGGTCTGTAAACTTTCTGGTTATAGTACAGTTATATGCAACTGCAAATTATTAGAATTATCCCAGCATAAGTCCAGGAGTTTTAAACGAGATTACATGAAATATTAACTATGATTATACAAATACCTAATACATCAGACAGCTGCAATCTTAGAGCAGAGAACTGAGGAACTGAGCGAGCCAGGGAACAGCTCTCAAAGGCTTACTGCAAGTATTTTTAGCATCCTTGAGGACCATGCCTTTACATACGAGCATATAGGGACACCAAGAGCTCAGTTCTGCTCCTAGATATATGTGCACACGCGTAACTGCTCTTCTTATCCGAACAGTCCGTGGCGCACACTTTGTGTACCCAAGCTTTCAGTCTCTGCACCAACACACTATCATGCACTGGGCACAGTTACATCCCGGACAGTAGGGCACTGAGCTCTAACTAAACTTAAGGTGCTGTGGTTTTGCATGATTCATATGATCGCCTTCACTTGCACGTGTTCTAGTTCGTCAAGTTATCCATCCATATCCCCTCAGCAAAGGATATTTAAAATCAAATTCACAGGTGTGTCTGTATACACACGACTCCCACTTAACAGTGCCAGAGGGTACTCGGATGGACTTACTACGAAAGAACACCTGAATGGGAGGTTCTGTTCAATTCATAAATGTATAGCTCAGCTTCTAGTAAACACCGGGCCAAAACACGCTATGGTAGTAATTACACAGAAATCCCTGAATACTCAAGCGTACCTTAATGTACTTAAGCCAATTTCCTTTCTTCACACATCTTCATTTTCTGAAGTAATGGTTAAATAACTAAGTACTGGCATTTATGAGAATACAAACAACGTATCTTGGACTGTAAACCCAAAAGCCAACACTTAGAAACTTCAAGCCTGGGTTGCTTCTGGTTGCTAAGGCCATGATTCTGTAATGAAATGTGCACAGTGCATCCACTCGACCCTCACAAATCTCAGTAGGATGCCCTGCAATGCATCTTTCTTTTAAGCACTTGCAAAGTCAGAAGAAGCAACTCCTCCATGAAAAGAATGATAAAACGTCCAACCTTGCATAGAGCAGAATTTGTTAGTTAAAGCTGAAGTGTCCCATGGGTGTGATTTTGTTGCTAATGCTTTAAGACAAAGATTGCTGTGTGCAGGAGGCCACCTGACACGAAAAAATCACTTACCTAATCCCCATATTTCTTTGTAGGCAACTGGTATGCCTCTGGTCTTCCTGATTTATGATGAAAACTGACAGAGATATACCAAGTTGTGGATTTAAAAAAAACCAAATAATAAATACAATTGCAGAGTTAACAAGGATATGAGTCACAAAGTACTTGACTGTATTTTCAGATACACTGGGCCCTTAACGCAGCCAGCCCTGCCAGATTAAAAGCACATGAAGTATTCAATTAAGAGCAGAAAACCAGCAGGCATGTACAGGTGAAAGCTGTGTCACAGTAAGAGAATACTGTACTGCAGAGAAATCTTTTGGATGCACATCCTGAGAGCTTCCTGCTTTAAAATTAGAGCAACGTTTCTCTTTTTGTTGTTTGGTAGACAAAAGATGAAAGACCTCGGGAGGTCATCAATGTTTGATCAAATGACAGTATAAATAGAACACCCCCAGTATCCCTGATTTTGCTTGAACAGTATGCCTTTTTTTTTTAAAGTGTTTAACCTTAATACTGAAGTCTATAAATTGAAGGCTCTCTATAACTACCCACCTTATACTCACGTTCTTCATACACAGGGTATACATATTCCCTAAGCCATTCAAGGAATAACCATGTAAAACTAACGCTATGAACTTGGCAATGGTTAGGCACTCGATTTATAGGCAGAGCATAAAGCTGTGTGGGGTCAAAGACCTTAACTACATGGACCAATTTTACCTCAGCACCTTCTGTCCCCTTCTGCTCTGAAGGTCAGAAGCAAACATGAACAAGGGGATCCTAGTTAAGGTCCAGGGTATTGTGAAAGGCTTCTCAGCACCTTTCCAGCTTTTAAGAGGGGCTGGCTGCAGGAGGAATTCCCTGGGGTATTTTTGCTCAGAGAAGCTTAATGCTTCCTTGAGCGATCTGGGTTACTCTTAAAAAAAGTGCATGCACATATGTCCCTTTCCTTACAAGTCAGCACAGGAGAAGGAGGGCCATGTTTTTCTTCCAGGGGTACCCAGATCTCTAACTGCCACTCTATCAGGTCCCAAGAAACGGTGCTCCCTGGGGACATCAATGGATGATGTAATGCCATGATAGAACAAGCAAAACAGAAAATTACAAGACATTTTGTCTATGCTCTGGAACCCCTGCAGACTTGGTCGTTTTGAGTTACAAGACATGAATAAAGTTCTGTAGCACTCCAACACTCAAACTGCAGTCAGCCATTTGCCTCATAACATCTCATTGAAAATACATTAAAGGCTGTGGATAATACATATACACTTTTAAATAGAAAATACATACAGAAGTTTTAGACTATTTTGGGACTGTAAAAAGTGTGAGTTCTACCTGCATTACTTTGTATTCTACACAACTAACTTGCTGGGTGTTATCTTGTTTGACTGAACGGCATGAAGCCAGAAGAGACTGCCTGGGGAAAGCAGACAGTCCTTCAGTGAAGAAAGTTGCAAAAGGTCTTAACTGGGAAATTCCTACCTGCTGGGCTCCAGCGGGGCCATCAGACTGGCCTGCCTCAGGTTTCAGCTGATGACCAAAATAACACTAAACTGTGGAAGACCACTGATTAGAGGGAACATGCAGCTGGAAGGAAGCATCAGGACTGCCTTCGTCTCCCAGACCAGCAACAGTGAGTTCAGCACTGTGCAGTCCTTACCCAAAAAACAGCCAAGAAACATCCAAGTTCAGGTAAGACCCAGCTGGACAGGCCTGGTGATGTTTTCTCTGATGACTCGGCAGTGCTTTGTGATGAAGACACTGCTTTCCGGCTGTCCAGAGGCTCTCCTGGTGCTGAACCCAGACAGGGGAGTTGTTTTATTACAGCTGATCAACAGAGAGTTTTCACACTGAGACTCAATCAGAATGATCAAAGAGATCCCTCCCCCTAAATTAGCAGTAGTAACAAACGAATCAAGAGAAAGAACTTAATAGGGACTAAAGAGAAGTCTAAAATACAACTTCCCTTCTACCCAAAAGCTGTGGATACCAGCTTCACTGTAAGTTAAAACTTTTATTCAAATGATGATACCCAGCTGCATAGGACATTTTGGTATCTGTTACTGCCTAGAAGGATGCTAATCTAAGATAAGAGATGTTGTGCAAATACTGCCATTAAACACAACCTAGTTCCTAAAAAGAAAAAAAAAATCCACTACGGAAAAAACTTATGCTCTCAAAACAATTTCTAGTAGTTTCATAAAAAGAAAATGCACACTTTTTTAAAATACTGGATGAATTTAATGGCAAAAAAATAGACAAGGTTTTCTATGCAATTTGTCCAGAAAAGATAATTGATTTCTTAGCTTTGAATATACATACTTCTTCTAAGGAGCCACACCTGTTTGACTGCTGATAAAATTTGAAAAAAATAAAATTCATTAACCTAACAGAAGCCTAATCTGATGCATTTGCAACAAGCATAGTCTCATGAACGTTTTATACTATGCAAGATGGAAATATAGCTCAAAATGAAGGAGCAATGAATAACTTGTGTCATTTAATACAAAACATTATGATTTTTAACCTCGGACTTATGATTTGAGCTCATCCTTGGTTTTTGTGGGGGTTCCTCCTGACTCTGAAAGCACATCCTTATCAGGGTTGTCTGGTAGATCTGATGATGTGTTATTTGAAGAACTCTCAGTGTCACATAAATCTTTCTCTACAGTGCCTGGGTGATTTCCACAGTCATTCAGATTTTCATCATCACTTTTGGAAAGAGAAGCATCCTCCTTTCCGTCAGAAGTATCCTGAATTTCTTCTGATTTTGAAAGCTGGACCGTATCAGTATCACTGTTCTTTTCACCATTGATCTGCCCAACAGCATCACAACTCGTTTCTTGTTCACCCTGGTCATTTTCTTCCCCGTTTTTTGTGAGTTCTACCTTTCGTTCTTCAGTTGTTTTACCAGCTGAGCTTCCACTTGCCGATGCATTCTTAGGCTCTTTTGGTTTCTTATGTTTAGAAATACAACTATTGTGAATAGAAATCGGAGACGCTGGCTTTTTATTTGTTTTGCTTCCCTCTGACTTAGGTTTTCTTGGGGGTCCCCAGATAAAATGCTCTGAGGGCATATAATGTTGCTGGGCAAATCTCAGGAGCTTCCTCCTTTCTCTTCGGTCTCTAATAGTATACACAAAATATTCTAGAGCACTTTGCTTAATGTTGGGAATGGTATCTTCCACAAGAGCTTCGTGGAGAATAAATTTTACCAAGGGAGATTTGAAACTCTCATATCCAAGCTCACCAAGACTTTTCAAAATTCGAGTGATTCTCAAGTAGTTGTGTTGAGACCTTTGGAGAAAAAGGGTGAAAAATTTCCATTGAATCAGAAAAAATCTCCAACCTTTACAGATACAGAACTAGAACTGCAATTCCTCACTCCTTTTTATCACTCCAGGTGTGTGCTTCAGGCTTCCTGTACTTTAATTTCTCACAGCTGCTGAAGCTCGCTAGCACTTCCTTCGCTAGGATGCTGGGAGTGAAAATTAGTTTTTGTAAAACGCACTGAGGCAACAGGATAAAAAAAAATAAAAAATTGAAGTGCGTACTGATTTTTTTTTTTGCACTAATATGGCTACATATATATAACATGCACTTAAGCTATTTAAAAGCTGCATCTCTAGTCTAGATTAGCTACCTGCACTTCTGATGCAGTCAGTGCTCGGAGAAAAACAGGCACCTCCGGAGAGTAAAGTCCTACCGTTCTAAGAAGTGTCTAAGATAAATCAAATGCACTATCTTCTGCAAGTGCTTGTTAGGAGCTCTTT